GCAATAAGTAACTGCAAAAAGCAGGTATTGACTATTTAGTTATGTATGCAATGTACTTACAGTCTATTGATTGTAAATTCTGATAGTCCCCACTAGAGTGTTACATCTTGTTGATGTTTTTTATATTGTTTATGTTTCGCTTCTGTTGTACTTCATTATGTTAAAAAGTTTCAGTTTTAAACAAAGGGTGTAGAGTTTCTACTGAGACATATTTTGAATACATCTGAGCATATGCAGAACATTTTCTGCAGTATTGAATAACTGCATCCTCCCTACTCCTCCATCTACTTACATTCAAGAAGCATGGTCTCCAAAGATCAATGCTAGAGTACATGTTTGTCATGCAAGGGCCAGAGATGTTGCTGACACCTACAAGGGGATATCGTAAAGTTTTAATTATCACCTTTAAAAAAAATTGACAGAAATTTTGTTTTGATTTGTAATTGTTAACTTATCTCTACATAGTCACCATCCAGATTTACACATTCCCCCCCCCCCCCCCCCCGGTGTTTCTTGACCCTCTGAATACCTGATATTGTAGAAGTCTGCAGATTGCACTTTACAAGGATTTTGCACTTTACTCACTTCTGGCACAACCTGTCACAAAAATAAAGGACACAATGAGCTGCTTTTTTCAACATCATGCACTTAGGGACCAGTGATGACACTGACAAAATTTCATCAATATACCATAATAACTTCCAGGTGATAATTATTACTTTATGATACCCCCTCATAAGGCACAATCTTCAGATTTCTATGTAGAGATAAGTTAACAACTACAAACCAAAATAAGCTTTCTGTCAATTTTTAAAAAGGTGATAATTACAACTTTACAATACCAACTCTTACAGTTTCCCACAATGTCAGAGTCTCCAGTCCCACTACCTTTGGGACCACCTCTGCAATGAATAACTTGGCAAATCTTTTATTTATTACACTATAGGAATAATGAGTCCTGTGATGCAGGGAATTTACTTGTGCAACTGTGTTAGGGAAGGTAGAAAAGAGTTTGTTTATTGTTGTTGTTGTTGACTAGAATTTTACTTTATTTTGATGGTCTGATAATGAGCACTGTTAACTAAAAATAGCTAGTTAACCCTTGTTGGATCAACTAACTAGCATAAAACCAGTTAAATTTAAGTAATTAACACATAATTAGTTACATTTAACACATTATTTTTGTGCTGTGGCAGAGGGATACAAAAACTGCAACATTATCCATACCTTATCCATACCACACCTTGATGCAGATATTCCAGCCTGTGCTCGAGAGGGCTTTGTTGAGGGATGAACACAAGTTGTACAATTCTTTCCTAGTGGAGGTTCATCAAGTGGCAGCTGGTGGTTTCCATATCAGTGCGGGGGTGAATCTCTCAGTTTTACCCTAAACTTTAAAGATGTCATGCAAGGTGCTTGACCTAGTTTAGTACTAGAGCTCAAAACTTAGGACAAATCCTCCAAAGTTTAGATCAGGGGTAGGCAACCTTTCCCCTTTAAGGGCCGAGGGACTTCAGCTCCCAGAATCCCAGGAGCTATTGGCCAACATGGGACTATTGGCCAACATGGCTGAGGCTTCTGGAAGCTGAAGTCCCTCGGCCCTTAAAGGGGAAAGGTTGCCTACCCCTGGTTTAGATTAATGTCCAGAGTAGATTCACTGCTCTACTTATGTAAAAGCCACCAGCTGCCATTAGGTCCATTCCTTACTATTTATCTGAGGGCTAGCCATGAAGTTTGAATTATCTGTTTCTTCTCTGTGTTTCTAAAACAGCTGTTTTAATGGTGTGAGATTGCATTGTAATTTGAGGATGCTGTTAGCTGCTTAGGAAGATTTTTCAATGATCAGTTTATATGTTATCTATGCATGAATATACTCATGTTCACAAGAGTTTGGAAAGGTTCCTTATTTTGAACTGAAACTCACAAAATCCTCCATTCAGCAAAGTGATGTTCTAAAAAGGGATTGTCTCCATGTTCATCTATACAGTGACAACTTCTGCTTCCAATATCAGTGGGGCAGTGGATGTGCTCCACATTTTAGTCCAGAGGTAGGCAACCTTTCCCCTTTAAGGGCCGAGGGACTTCATCTCCCAGAATCCCAGGAGCTATTGGCCAACATGGGACTATTGGTCAACATGGCTGAGGCTTCTGGGAGCTGAAGTCCCTCGGCCCTTAAAGGGGAAAGGTTGCCTACCCCTGTTTTAGTCCATCTACTAAAGGCCCTGTCCAAGGTGATGAAGCTGCAAAATGGATCCACCACTTAGGCACCTCCTCCAAAATTCAGACTTAAACCTAGAGTGGATTCGCAGCCCTACTGACACTGAAGCCACAAGCTGCCATTGTATACATACAGATTACTTGCTCTGTTCTAAGGCTGACATTTTCCTTTCTTGCATAAATAGGCCCTCACAGGAAAGTTATTATCATTTATCCAATCTTCTTTATTGATGCTGGGTTATCCAGGGTTCTTGCTGCTTCTGAGTACACTGGTCTGCTGTCAGGCCTTTTCCTCCATTAGGTTCCCTGATCTTCCTTCCCTTTGAGAGTGTTGCTCTTTTGTTTTTGTCAGCTGTCCCTGAGTTGACCCTGACTCATGGTGACCTCATGGATGAGACATCTTCAAAAAACCCTGTCCTCTACTGCTCTGCTTAGTTCTTGCAAAATCAGGTTTGTGTCCTCTCTAAGTGAGTCCATCAATCTGCCATGTGATCTTCCTTTCTTCCTACTGTCCTCTACCTTTCCTAGCATTGTTGTCTTTTCTATGAGTCATGCCTTCTCATGATGTAGCCAAACCATGTCAGCCCCAATTTGATCATCTTGGCTTCCAGGGAAAGTTCATGCTTGATCCCTATGACCCCTTTAGTTTTTTTTTGTTTGTTTTTTTGCTGTCGGCAGTATTCTCAACACTCTTCTCCAGCACCACATCTCAAATGAGTTGATTTTCTTCCCATTGGCTTTCTTCACTGTCTAATTCTCATATCCATACATGGTGATGGGGAATACAATGGCTTGGAAAATTCTGACTTTAGTGTTCAGTTGTATATCTTTACACTTTAGGCTCTTGTCTAGTTCTTTCTTAGCTGCTCTTCCCATTCCCAGTCTTCTTCTGTCTTCTTGACTGCAGTCTCCATTCTGAACAATGTTTTATCCATGGTATGGAGACTCTTTAACTATTTCAAATGTCTCATTGTCTAGGTTGAATTTATGTAGATCCTTGGTGGTTATTTTTTCCCTTAATATTCAGCATTAATTCTGCTTTGCACTTTCATCTTTGACCTTCCTTAGTAGTTTTTCCATGTCTGTGATGTTTTATGCTATTAGTATGGTGTCATCTGCATATCTTAGATTGTTGATGTTTCTTCCTCCTATCTTCACTGCTTTTTCTTCTTAGTCTAAACCTGTTTTTTGTATGCTGTTTTCTGCATAGAAGTTGAACAATAGGGTGATAGAATGTATCCTTGCTTGACCCCTTTTCCAATTGGGAACCATTCTGTTTCTCCACATTCTGTTCTAACAGTAGCCTCTTGTCCTAAGTACAGATTTTTCCTCAGAACTATCAGATGTGGTGCACTCCCATGCCCTTGAGAGCTATCCATAGCTTTTTGTGATCTATGCATTCAAATGCTTTGTTATGTAGTCTATAAAACACATGCTGATTCTTTTCTGGAATTCCTTTGTGTATTCCATTTACCATCATATGTTTGCAATGTGGTCCCTAGTGCCTCTTCCTTTCTTGAACTCCACTTGCTCTTGTTGGTCTCAAAAATAAGGTTGGGTGTTTTTAAGCAATGTTGTCACACACACAAAAATCATAGATGTTAAAAAACATAGGAGTCAAGAAAGGCCAGCCAGTCCATACCCAGCCCCAAGTACCACCTTTGGGGCCATACAGACTGCCAGAAATAATCCAATTTGAGGCCACTTTAACTATCCTGGCTCTGTGCTAGGGAATCATGGGAATTGTAGTTTTTCTGAGACATTGAGCCTTCTCTGTCAGAGAGCTCTGGTGCCACAATAAACTACAGTTCCCATGATTCCTTAGCACTCAGCCAGGATAATTAAAAGTGGTCTCAAGCTGGATTATTGCTGGCAGTCTGTATAGGCCCTTTGACCATTAAAATAACCACAGCGGATGGTTTCCATGTCAGTGGAGTAGAGGATTTATTTCAGGCTTTAGCCTAATCTATAAAGGAGGTATCCATGGTGCTGAACCCTATTTCCAAAATAGATTCCACTTCTCTGATCATTTATTTAAAGTTTGGACTAAAAACTGGAGAAGATTCTCTTCCCCACTCTCATGGAAGCCACTCACTGTTACTGCAATCCTTTTCATATGTCAAGATCTATCTGAAGGGTCCTTCTTGAGTGCCCACCATAGAGATCTACAAGTTTGGGTGGTATTAGCTACAGGACCTTCTGAGAGGTGGCCCCATATCATTGAACTGATGTAAACCACCTTGAGTCCCATGGAAAAAGACAGGAAGTCAATCAATCAACCAATCAATCAATTTTCTGATCAACACTATGCTTTGTCTTTTCTTCTCTTGCTCTTCAAGCCTCCAGCAAAAGTTTTCAGTCCTTACTGCAGCAGCCTATTGAATGCACAAAAAGAGGGAAGAAGGGAGGCAGAAATGGCAGAGTGGCAGGAAAAGACAGAGAGTGAGAGATGAAGAGAGGGACTGAGATAAAATGCAACAGAAACAGAAAACGGGGTTGCTGAACCAGAAAGAGAGCGGGAGACAGAGAAGGCAAGGTTGGAAAATAAAAAAAGGGGGGGGGGAGAGAAGGAAGGAGGGAAAGAGAAAGTGGTTGGCCCATCCCAGGGATATTAGCTATGGGAGGTGGGCAAAATGAAGGCCTTGATCTCCCAGTTAAGACTTATGTTGTTATTGTTGTGTGCCTTCAAATCGTTCCTACTCAGGGTGACCCTAAGGTAAACATGGAGGGTGTTCTGGGGCTGAGAGTGTGTGACTTGCCCAAGGTCAGCCAGCGGGTTTCCATGGCAGAGCAGGGAATCGAACCCTCCTCTCCAGAGTCTTAGGCTATATGCTCCAACCACTACACTATGCTGGCTCCATGAAATTTTCCTTCAGACCCCAAACTTCAAGCGATCCAGAAGGTGAGACTCTGAAAATCGTTCACACCTTGAGCTCTTCTTTTTGCTTTGTTCGCCTTCCCTTGCCCCTTTTCTTTGGGTGCTTAAATTGCATTTCTAAATGCTCTCTCAGTTGAAATTTTAAGTTACTGTAATTCTAGAGGTTTGGAAACTGAAGGAAAATTTCATGGAGGGGAGGAAACTCTTACTGGGGGACAATGCCCACATTCCTGACCCCCCCCCCCCAGTCTAGAGTCTTGCCCATCCACTTTGGCTCTAGTCCTCCTCTCATGCAGGGCAGATTAAAAAGTTATCCACTTGGGTTGTAAAGCAATGAAGGAAAGAACAAAAAACAAGAACCAGCTTGCCCAACAGAACCAAGGTTAAAAACTAAAATAAAGGGATGGGCTGTGTGGGGTGTGTGAGAGAGAGAGAGCCAGCGTGGTGCAGTGATTTGACTCTGGAAAGCAGGGTTTGAATCCCAGCTCAGGCATAAAAACTCACTGGGTAACCTTGGGCAAGTTCACACTGTCTCAACCCCAAAGGATGACAAGGGCAAACCCCCTCTGGAGAAACCTGCCAAGAAAACCCTGTGATAGGTTCACCTTAGGGTTGCCATAAGTCAGAAAGGACGAAGTCACACAACACACAAACACAGAGGTGGTGGTAGAGAGAGGCCTCACCAAGGATGGAAACCTTGAGGACTTCCCTGGCGATGCTGACCAGCCAGAGTCTTCTACTCCCCTCGACTGCTTTGGCTTCTGCAGCTCTCCATGAACATGGGAGGCTCTGGTGCGCCCATGCCCTGTCCACTCCTCTTGTCTCAGGTCCTCCACCTCCTGGCACTGCCAGACTCCTTGGCATGGCTCCACTGGCTGGCAGTAGCAGGGTCTCGACCTTGTAGCAGCCCAAGCAAGGTTACACAGTAAAAGAAACTGCAGCTAGAAGCCAGAGCCAATTCAGGCATTGTTTTGGAATAGATGCTCACCAAAAAGAAATTCGTCATAGGACTGTCCAGTGTTGTGAAAAGAAGAGTAAACCAAATGTACCTGAGATTCTGGGCACAGAAGGCTGAGAAGGGGGCCTCAGGAGAGCTTACTTCCAAGTAAGCCAGTTACTTGGCTGAGGGAAAGGTTCTGAAGGTGCAGATCCATAAGGAAGGAGAGAAAGTGCAAAGGTAAAGAAACCCAGAGCATGCACACTTTTTTCCTCCTTTGAGTTAGCTTTCCTCTCTTCATTACTAACTCCTGACTTCCAGTGCTTTAGCCAAGCAGCCTAGTCCTAGCCAGGTTTACTCAGGAGTAAGCTCTCCTCACTTCCCAGTTACACGTGCCCAGGATCGTCTCGTGAGTAATGCCATGGAGACTGGGAAGGAGAAGGGAGGCGATGGCAAAAGAAGTGACCCTTTCTCCTAAGGTAGTTTTCCTTTAAGAAAATACAGTTTACGCAAACAGACAATAGTCGAAACAAATTTTTGTTTAAATTGTCCAGTGCAAATTGGGGGCTTTCCCAGTAACTCCAGGATCGCCGTATTGCTTTCTGAACTGGAACCCTTTCTCCTTCCCCAAACTTATTTCGTCTCCAGAAAGCTCACCGTGGACAGCACAAAACCAAAGGGTTAAAAACAAACATGCCCTCAGCTTGTACACTGGAAATGCCTATAAACTAGAGGAG